CCCGCTCCGTTGGCGCCGGTTGCTGCGGGGGCTCCGGCGGGGGAAGCGCCCGACCTGGGGCCTGCGCGGGGGGAGGCGGCCCTGCCCGCCCCCGGGTTATGGCGCCACAAGGGCGGCCGCGTTTGGCCGCTGTTTTTCCCCCTGGGCCGCCGGGTGTCCGGTTTGTGCTGCAAATGCTGAAGCACTTCAGGGTATCGTGCAAGTTGCGAGGCGCTTCGTTAACCCTCGGTCTTGTTCTCGCTTTCCTTGTAGTTAATCGGAGACTGGACGTCGGAATATAATGGACATGGGTAACCAACACCCATCCATAAAACGGTTGCACGAAATACAGAGGGAAGTCAAAGAAATCGAGCAGCAAGTGCTTGTCTTCAGCGGTCTGTCTACAGATCGAGATTACAAGAAATTAGAAAGGAGTCTTACTAAGCAGCTTTTTGAAATAGATTCTGTAGACACCGAAGGAAAGGGGGACATTCAGCAAGCCAGGAAGCGAGCTGCTCAGGAAACCGAGAGGCTGCTGAAGGAGCTGGAACAAAATGCAAACCATCCGCGCAGACTGGAAATAGAGGCTATATTCAAGGAGGCACAGGCACTCGTGGAACGCGAGATCACACCTTTTTACAAAGGAGGTAACTGCATAAGTGACGAGTTTGAAGAAGGCATCCAGGACATTGTGTTGAGGCTCACCCAGGTGAAAACTGGAGGGAAAGTTTCTTTGCGCAAGGCGAGATACCGCACTCTGACAAAGATTTGTGCTGTCCAGGAGATTATAGAAAGCTGTGTAAAGCAACAGCTGTCCCTGCCACTCTCTAATGATGCACATCCTTCTGTCTCCAAAATTAACTCTGTAATGTGTGATGTGAACAAAGCAAGAGGAACTCTTATTGCGCTTCTAATGGGAGTGAGTAGTAATGATACCTGCAGGCATCTGTCCTGTGTGCTGACAGGTCTCATTGCTGATTTGGATGCTTTAGATGTCTGTGGTCGCACTGAAATAAGAAATTACAGAAAGGAAGTAGTGGAAGAGATCAATAGGTTGCAGAAATACCTGGACTTGGAAGAAGAAGCAAATTCTACACATGCTTATGATTTGGCACAGAATCAGTCCATTCTAAAAATAGAAGAGATCCGCAAGAAAATGAAGGAAATTAATTCTTTACTTTTAAAAACAGAGAATGCTTCTGATTTGCATTTGGGATCCAAAGCAGAATTGCAGGGATTAATTGCCCGCTTGGATGAGGTGAGTCTAGGGAAAAACCCCTGCATTAGAGAAGCCAGGAGAAGAGCAGTAATAGAAGTTCAAACTCTTATAACCTATATTGATTTGAAGGAAGCACTTGAAAAAAGGAAAATGTATCCTGAGCAAACAGCTGCCGAACATCAGTCTCATAAAGCAGTTTGGACTGTTCTTGGAAACCTGTCTCAAATTCAGCGGGAGGTGATTTCGTTTGATGGAAACAGAACGGATAAAAATTACATGAGACTGGAAGAACTTCTTACAAAACAACTTCTGGCACTTGATGCTGTTGATCCACAAGGTGAAGCGCGGTGTAAGGCTGCCAGAAAGCAAGCAGTAAAGCTTGCACAGAATATTCTTTACTATCTGGACATGAAAACCGATGAATGGGAGTACTGAAACAGCCGTGGCCTAAGACAGAAGAGCATTTTTTCCTTTGGCACTTTATGCAGATTTTTGGCTGCACATAATAAAAGTGGTGTGTTCTGTGCTGGCTCAAATCACAGAGATTGCATAAGCAGTTGACTTGGCTATATGTCTGCTGTCCCACGCAGTCATCCACTTGCCATGGCAACTGTCAGGACTCCACCAGCAACTCTGGTCATTGCTATAAGCAGAGAAGTGTTTTTTTCTGAAGGAATAGCTTAATAGTTGATTGAGCAGCTTCTTTTCCTGTTTTAATAACCTTGTGCAATGTTCAATGAATGCAAATTTTTCAAAGATCCAGAAACTTCCTGATGGTATGGTACTGGCAAAACTATTTAAAGAAGATTGGACATGAAAATTAGTACTCGAGCATGAGGCTTCATCCAGCAACTTCATGGCAGTCTGGATATTCTCTTAATGTGCTGTTACGACAGAAAGTATTAAGGGCAAAAAACCTTCTGGCTTTTGAGTTGTACTTGATTTATTCCATCCATCACACTTTTCTGGGTGTTTAGATTTCTCAGCTAATGGAGCTATGAAGCCAACTACAAATTAGCATTTATGCAGGCAAAGCTAGTTATGACTATTTTTTGTAATACCTTAGCCCGCTGATTTGCAAAAACAGGTTTTTTGTTGGTGGAAATGCTTTCAAATTACTGCTTTGAGGTACTGAGACAGGGAGAGGAAAAGCTGTAAATGTATACTGACCAGATGAAGGGGGTTTTGAGGATTTCACACTGCCATCCATAAACCCCTGAAAGCTGCACTGAACTTTTTGTGGCTGCTTCAGTGTCTTTTTAAACTCTGTTGTTAGATCTGCTTTTGCCTTGTCTTTTCACATTTGGTGAAAACAGAAACAAGATTCACTTTAAATTGAATGAGCATTTTGGAACTATTTTTGCAAAATTAGATAGCTAGCTATAAAGATGTCCCTGATGGTGTAAATGTATGTTATATATTTCATACCAGTCAAGTATGACTTTTGTGGCTTCAAGAATGTCTTGGAAAAGACCTGTGGCAAATGTCTCTCCTCGCAACTCATCACTTAATTGTTCAGTAACTTCATAAATAAGCTGCTTGAATTGTTTATGCACCTATCTTTTTATTTGTGGCTGCTAGTGCCAATCACATTTCTACTCTGGCATGTTTTTTTGAGAGCATGGTATTAAAATTAATTTTAAAGATATATTTAATTATTGATACTTTGTACTTATCTCCTTCATGTTGAATTAATTATTGTTCCATAGATTTTTATTTGCATCACTTTAAGGAGTAAAAAACATTTCAGATGTTAAATATTTTTAGATCTATTTTTGACCGATTAGAGAAGACAGTACAGTTTGTGGGAGACAAGTGCCTTCATGACACCACTAACTTGCATGTGTAATGTGTAGATGCAGGAAATGTGTCCTGGCAGCTTGATATATTTGTATTCTTTGCAAACTGGATTTCTCACATGTATATAATTTGCTATAATATATATCAAATTAACATAATAGAATAGGTGACAGATGTTCTACAGAGTCCTGAGAATGAGTATCAAATCTGGGAAATCTGGATTCTGCTTAAAAAAAACGCACTTATTTGGAGACAGGGCATTTGGGGCAGTTTTTCTGTGCATATTGCTACAAGGAGAGAATGTTTGCTCCATAGCACGCTTTGAGATGTTGATGAAAGGCTGTGCAACTTCAGAGTGTGAATATACTTTTCCTGATTGTACAGGTGGTTGCTTTGCAATTTTACTTGCCAAAAAAATCTAGTTTTTCAATTAAGTAGTGCCTAAGGCACAATTTGGCAGTGACAGAATATTTGTCAGAGGATTCTCTCTGCTCCTTCAGAACTATAACCCTGTTGAATTTATCTCTCCTTGCCTCAAAAAAAATAAGTTAAAAAAATTCCCCTAGTTAAAAATCCAGTCTGTGTTTATATATAATGTGGCAAACACAGAACATTAATAATGTTGTACACCTGAGTTATTTACTCCTTTCAAGCTTTCTACACATTTGAACTGCACCTTCTGATTTGCACTTAGATTTTTTAGGAAATACAAATCTTTGATAGTGTAAAGATACTATTAATTTTTCTTTACTATTACTGTCAGATCTGCAGTGGTTACTTGTAGATTGTTTAACAATTTAGTGTTCTTGGGAGGTTACATGTAACTTTATAAATGTTTGAACCTCTTACTAAGACTGTGTAAGTATTGTTCTCAGATCAGATAGTTATGCCTGCACCTCTAAGGAGGCAAATGTATAAGGTCAGTGAATTTTTAATAATTGAGTAGAGTTCAGTAGCAAGATACTGTGTGGATTAAGCTTTTCTCCACTGTTCTGTCATCTCATAAAATTATTATTTAAATTTTATTGTAAAATCCTCATCTGGAATGGGATTAATTCAGATTTTTTTGCATGAATGGAAATAATAAACTAAATATGCTTAACCAAAAATTAATGCACAGATTTCTCAAAAATCTTGCTTTTGTGCTGAAGAATGTAATTTCTCTTCTTTTTTTTTTTAATATCCAAAGATTGTGGGGGACACAACTTTTCTTTCCAAAACAGCAGGCTAAAATAATCAGAAAATGTAAATGGACCAAACTAGAAAAGCCTGCATTTTAGTACTGTACTGAAATAGAATAACTTCTTATGTGTGCTGTGTAATTTACCTTCGAGCAAAATAAATTATTGGATATATGGGGAGAGGTAATCAGACATTGTGATTCCTATTTGTTAATTGTATTTCTTTTAAAACTAGATTTAAGTAGTTACTTCAGTGTTTGGTTTTGTTGTTTACAATCAGTGGTTTTTCTGTGTCACCAGTTAGGAGGAGATTTTTATTAAGTATGGTTCCTGCTTTTTCAATTTAACAAAAGTCAGTGTACATGCTCCTTACGGTCTGTGTGTCTTGATTTGTTGCTGTGTAGGATATGGCATTTGTATATACAAGTTCAAGATGAAGTAATGCAGTGTTACATTCTTGATTATTAATTAAAAAAACATTGCTACCTTTTACTACGTATTCATTTGAATGTTATGCCCTGCTGCCTTTCTCTATTTTTGAATGTGAGTTATCAGAATGTAAATTATTTGTCTTAGAAAAAGTGGGTTTATTAAACATAGAGATTAAAAAGTTCTCTTTTATTTTTCCCCTTCTTCAAAAGTGTGCTTTTTCACTGCTGTATTTATGACAATAAAGTTCTTTGTGTGGAAGCTTCTCCTACCTCTGCTTGCTGAATCTGGTGCCTTTTTGTTTCCTGTGCATTCAACCTTGTGTTACAATCCTAACATCAGTCATGCCTTGCATTCTTTCTCTAGCAATAGCTTTGCATGTGCGTGGGCTCCAGCTGGATGATCACTTCAAAAATACTTGTGGCAGTTTTAAGATCTTGCCACTTCCCTGTTGAAGGATGCTGCCTTCACAGGTGAGCTTGCAAAACTGATGGTAAGAAGACTCTTAATGTGCAGAGTCACCTTGGGTTGAAGAGCCTTTAGTAGGAGTTAAGCTGATCTGGTTTTAAACTGCGTAGATGAGGCACGTTCACAGGTTGCTCTGGTGGCTCAGTATGTTTTCCTCAAGATGCCGTGAGCCAAGTTACCAGCTCGCTGCTGATGGAAATTGGAAATTCTGTTTCTGCCCAGAAAGCTGCTGGCTTTGTGCAGTTTCTGCTGCTCGGGTAGCTCCTATGAGTTGATGTAATCTGATATAACAGGAGAAAACAAACTTAACAAAAATGGAGGAGGGAGTTTTCTGTGGGTTTAGTGAGTGAAATTGGCTTGTAAAGAGGCACATGGATCAGAGCTACTGCAAAACCAAGAGGGGGGTCATGTGGCTGTGGGTTAGGGAACAAGCTTTAAGATTCTCAGTAGCAGAAAGTAATTAAATCAACCTTCTGCATAGTTAAATTGCCAGAGGCAGAAGAGGAAGTGGCAGTATCAACTCCTATAGGCATGTAGGAATTTTCTGCTTTAGTAATGGGATATGAGGAAGGCAACACAAATGATGTACAGAAATAAACCAGTTCCTTACAATTGGTCCTTTGTGTTATGTTGTTCATGCAATATAAGCTTGAGTGGTCATGCTCAAGTACTATACCCCTGGAGTAACCAGAAAACATTTAAGAAAAAGGTTTATAAAGGTTGAATGTTTGCACAGGTAACAAATTCACTGTATCTTGCTTTCCTTTTCTTCAAAGGAAATGTATTCTCAAAGACTAGTAAATCGTCTGGGCAATGGCCCTAGGTGTGGCTCAGCCAGCTGCTAACTTGATCAGCTCCTGACTTGATCAGCTGCTTACTCCCCAAAGGAGTGAATTTGCCTTGCTGAGAATTTTTTATGTGTGTTTGGGACAGGCAGATTTTGGTACCTGAAATGGTTTAACTGGAAATACTCTTGCGTTTTATTTCCACGTAGGTGTGTCCTCTCCTTTAGAGAATTCTCAGCTGAGAAGTTGAAAGGGTAGGACTTCAGGAGTGAACTCATGGATCAAAGGCCTGGGGGTTTAAGCTGGCTGCCAGCAGCAGACATGGAAAGGGCAGGATCT